TACATATAACATAACATAACATAACATAACATAACATAACATAACATAACATAACATAACATAACACAACACAACACAACACAACACAACACAACACAACACAACACAACACAACACAACACAACACAACACAACACAACACAACACAACACAACACAACACAACACACTAAGTGTTTCTCGGGCTTGTAAACACGACGCGGAGATCTAGACCGGCATGTCTTTTTAGCGAACTGCGCGCTGCGAACCGAGTTTTACTCAAAGTTAGTGCGTTTTCTATGCATCGAGTTTCGCTGTCACGTAATATCACGGTATTGATCACTGCGTGCGTGCGTGTGCGTGTGCGTGCGTGTAAGTACAGTTGTGTATCGCACAGACGGATCAAGCTCTTGCGGGCAGCAGTAGACCGAGCAGAATGAGACCGCGTGTACATGCGCGCGCGTACGTGCACGCGTACAAAGACACGCACGCAGACGCATGCAGGCACGCGCGTACATGCGCATGCGTGTGCGTGCATGAAATATGTCACAATGTTTGCAATGTTTACAATTAAAGGTTTGTTACAACGTTTACTGTAACGTTAACGTTAACTGTAACGTTAACTGTAACGTTAACACACATCTACTGTAATGTAAGTGTATACTTTACTACCGGATTGAACCAATTTAATACTCAGACAATAAATTCGGTTCCAACCACCATGCTAGCTGCTTTATTCACCAGCTCGTGCCAATCTTCTCACAGAATACGTTTCTGTTTTACTTTATGTTCATGCTTGTGGAACGGTTGGTTTACGTTTCAGCTGACCTCAGGGTTAACCACTACAGTAAGCATATTGCTCGCCTCTTTTCTATCGTTGTTGTGAAATATGTTACAATGTTTGCAATGTTTACATTGAAGTGTTTGTTACAATGTCATTTATGTTTACATTGAAGAGTTTGTTACAATATGTTTACATGTACACATATCTACTGTATTGTAAGCATTGCTCGCCTCTATTCTGTCGTTGTAATAAAATATGTTACACTGTTTACATTGAAGTTTGTTACAATGTTTACATGATCTACATTTACAATGTTTGAAGCGAAGTGTTTGTCACAATGTTTACAAGCGGGCGATATATGGGGGTCCTCCCCCAGAAAATGTTGAAAATGTAGATTGCAGCAGATCGTTTTTGAGGCACTTTTGAGTACATGTACAGCCTTCATTCTGACTACGGCAATTCTGTCGTCTATACGACAATGTTTACATCTTACACACATCTACAGTACTGGCATTGAGCTCACCTCAAGTCGGTCGTTGTTGTGGAAGATTGTCTGCGACTTGTGCACCAGCTGAGCGAAGGCCGAGCTCAAGGCCGTCATCTTTGCTCGTCCCTCCGACACCAATTCCTGATCGTCTACCTCGCCGAAAATCAGATCCAAATCGACGAAACACTTATCGAAATCTTTCTCCAATAATTCCAGCCATCGGAGGGCAGTCTGGCAGCTTCCCGCCATGATGACAGCGCTGTAGACTGACGCCGGCGTCGCTCGTCGATGCGGTGTCACAGCGCAGCCACGCGACGTGGTGGTACAGTCTATGCCGCAGTGTTGTTGCCCGCGGTTTCGTGGTAGCAGACGACGATTAATGAACGTTTGTTTTTTTGATTCAAGTTAAAAAATATTTTCTTCGTTACTTAACGAGAACGAAGACCGAGTTTTACGAAGAAAGAAATGAATACAATAATATCGTCGAAACGATATCTGCACGTTTGATTGTGAGTTTTGTGATTCCGGCGGAACTACCTATTGTACGGTCCTATAGCCTATAGGCTTACCTCACTAATAACAGCCGTCGGTCGATCACACGCGTAAATCAACGTTTAGCAGTCCGCCATTTTTTTGGATAACACGCTGCCGCCATCTAGCGTGCGAATTGCGCAACTTCGACGGTAGTTATGTATTGCGAGATATGCAATTATACGTGTAGCCTACATGTGGACGGATAGGTCGTCTTTACGGTTAACCGACAAAGAATTTATCGCTACGAATACACAACAGTGATAATTCCTAACGTAGCAATATTTAGATGAATAGGAGTTAATTGCGTGAATAAACGTAAGTAATAAAACATCAATCACATTCAAACCAAAAAGGAAAGGTATAACGAATTTCGAAAAAAGAAATAGCATTGAGGGAAAAAAGAATCGAACACGATATAAAAACAGATTTTACATTATGTCCTACTATACGTTTCTCACTCGCGTTACTGTGTCTGTAGAACTTTTCCTCATCTTGTCTGTACTTCTCCATTTTTGTTTACGTGTCTGTGTGGCACATTATATATAATATATATATATATATATATAGTGGAACCCCCGATTTTACGCGCGCCGATTTAACGCGAATTCGGATTTAACGCGACGAGTCTGCTCTTATTTTACACCTTTTTTGCTCTTATATAGCCACGTATATATATAACCGCGATTTAGTGCAACCCCGCTTCTTTCGCGATGATATTTCATGGACCCCAACCATCGCGTTATAACCGGGCTACACTGTATGTATAAATATATATATATCTATATCTTCCTTTTTCGTTGTTGTCACAGTCGCTTGCGAGGATCTCGTTTATTTAAGATTATAATTCTTTAAGCGTTACACTTCATTCACTCGAGTAACCAAACGCTTCAAACACTTTTAAGGAGAATTTACTTCGGTAGGGAGCGAACGAGGTAAACAGCAACATTAAGCAACACCTGGCAACACCAGGCAACATCGGTTCGCGCACGCGCGGGAAACAGACGTCAGAAACTCGCGTCCCGGCGTGAACTTCGACCGCGCTATCACGGTTTCGCGTGAAATCTGCAACATCTGGCAACATCGTGCGAAATGTACATTCCGCCTCTGCAACTTTATCAGAATTCGGTAGGGAGCGAACAACGTAAAAGCAACCGTCGCCGAGGCCACAACATCCAGCAACATTTGGCAACATCGGCCACGCTGACCTCCCAACCTTGACCTCGTGATGTCACAGCCTCACGACCCGTCTTCGTCTCTCGCTCGGCTCTCCTCGCTTCATTACTCGCGTCCGTCGAAGGCGCCACCTGGTGGCAGGGATGGCGTGACGACACCAGGGGGCGCCGGCACGCAAAGAAACATCACGAGAGTTGTTTCACGTCAATCAGTTTATTGTCCCGAGAAATGCAACAATTCGACAATCTCCCGCGCCGCCGCGTGCCTCCGTGAAATATACCGTGCCGAATATCTATCCTATCCTATCATCGTCATCATCATCATCATTGTCACTGTCCTAGTCATCATCATCATCATCATCATCGTCATAGTCATCATCATCATCATCATCATCATCACCATCATCATCATCATCATTACCATCGTCATCATCATCACCATCGTCATAGTCATCATCATCATCATCACCATCATCATCATCATCATCATCATCATCATCATTACCATCATCATCATCATCATTACCATCGTCATCATCATCATTACCACCATCATCGTCATCGTCATCGTCATCGTCATCATCATCATCATCATCATCGTCATCATCATCGTCATAGTCATCATCATCATCATCATTACCATCGTCATCATCATCATCATCATCATCATCATCGTCATCGTCGTCGTCGTCGTCGTCGTCATCGTCATCATCATCGTCAACCACCATCGTCGTAAATCGCCATTAAATAATCGTAATCATAGACCATGTTTATCCACTGTTGTCATCGTCATCACCATTGTCAACTTCCGTATTGTCACAATTGTCATCGCGATCGTCACCACAATCGTCATCAACGCTGTCACGTAGTCGGCTGCAATGGACGATCGACTATCGTTCAAATTTCGTCGCGATAAAATTCAATCATCACGTCTCCACGAAAAAAAAACCCGCCCGCGCACGCTCTCGAAATCTTACACACTAGGGGAGAATTCCACCCGAAACATCATATATATATACATAAATATATATATACATGTGTGTATGTGTATATATATATATTCACATACATACATACATGCATGCATGCACGAGCGAACGACTTCGTTTCACGAGCGGCGACTTCTTTCTACTACCGTACAGAGATCTTCTGAACCCCTCCTTCCATCCCTCCTCCTCCCTCTCTCCTCTTCCTTCATCCTCCCTCGTCTCTCTCCTTCCTTGCCTCCCTCCCGCCCACTTGACGTTATGCCCCTGGCGTTAGAAACACGCACGAGACAAACAAGAGCGCGCCAGACCGCACGCTGCGGTACAGGTCAAAGGTCGATCCCCAGCGACCGGGGGCAGCGTGTGGCGGTGGCGCCACTGGTCAGGCCGTCTCCATCGCTAATCGGCGACAGCCGCCAGCGCCGGCGTCCGCTTGTCGCACGATGCCCTGTTGCGACAGTCGTCCGACATCGCGCAGTGGGCGCCGCCGCCGCCCGCCGGCGTCGCACGCGCGGGCCGCCTCGTCGTCGCAAAGACGTTCACATGTGGTTCGGCAGTTCCGAATCAGCTCGTATGGTGGCGTTTGGCGACGGCTTGCGGCGGCGCGGCCGCGGCCCGACGCGGCGCGGCGGCAGAGCTGACGGAACTGCCAGCGCTTTCGCTGCCAGCTGCCCAGGAGTCTCCGCGGCGACCGCCGCGCCCGCGCCGCCCTCCGTCCGGTGGTTGCAGGGAGACCGCTCCCTCTCCCTCGCCGTCGCCGCGGCGACCGCGTCGTCGTCCGTAGTCCGACGCGCGTCCGCGCCGTCTGCGCGCGCGGTGTCGTTCGTCGTCGTTGCCGCGGCGACGTGCAGCATCCGCGACGAGTGCGCCATCTTCTTGTGGACGTAGCGCGGCAGCGCGTCGTCCGTCTCCGCGTCGTCGTCGTCGTGGCAACGCTCGCGGTCCGCCGCGGGATCGGTGGCGCCCTCTGCAGCGTCGTCGGTAGTTCGCGTCGACGGCGGCGGCGTCCCGGGGGAGCCCCTCGGCTCCGGAGTCCGACTGCCGCTACGCGCGTTCTCTTGTTCCGGCGTAGACTCGCGCGCGTCGTCGTGCTCCGCGGGGCGCGCCGCCCGTCGGTGGTCGTCCGCGGGGGCCGGCGCCCCCTGGTGGTCCTCCGCCGGACTCTCTAACGTCCGAATCTCATCGTTAGAATCTGCCGCTGCCCGCTGCGTCGGGTTCGCTGCTGCGTCGTCCGCCGCCGCCGTTGCCAGGGGGCGCTCTGCGTCGTCGTCCATCGCGTCTGCCGCCGGCGCCCCCTGCTGTGTAGTCCGCTCGTCGCTGTCCGGCGACGCTGCCATCTCGCCTGGGTTCAATGCAGGGGGCGCTGCTGCTGCCAGCGTCGCTGCCTCCGTAGTCTGTGGCATCGTCGGTGACTCTGCCGCGTCGTCCGTCCGCACGCCGGGGGCGCCACCGTCCGTCCGCACGTCAGGGGCGCCACCGTCCGTCCGCATGTCGGGGGCGCCACCGTCCGTCCGCACGCTGGGGGCGCCACCGTCCGTCCGCGCATTAGGGGCGCCACCGTCTGTCCGCGAGTCGGGGGAGCCACCGTCTGTCTGCATGTCAGTGGCGCCACCGTCTGTCTGCATGTTGGGGGCGCCACTGTTTGTCTGCATGTCGGCGGGGCCACTGTCTGTCTGCGCGTTGGGGGAGCCACCGTCTGTCTGCATGTTGGGGGCGCCACCGTCTGTCTGCACGTCTCTTCGCGCATCGGGGGCGCCACCGTCTGTCTGCACGTCTGTCCGCGCATCGGGGGCGCCACCGTCCAGCTCGTCGTTCGTCCGAGCGTCGTCGTCGTCGTCGCGAGTTGCCGTGGCGACCGCCGCATCGCCGCGCTGCTGCTGCCGTAGCAACAGTCGCTGGTTCTCGGCGACGGCTGCGTTCAGCTGCGTCTGCACGTCCCGCAGCTGCTGCTTGAACATGAGGATGGTCGACTGCATTCCCTCCATGCCGTCGTCCGACTCCAGCAGATACTCGTACAGCTCTGCAACGACACATCGTCAACGCCATCTACGGGGCAAGAACGCACGCTATTCTCTCCGTTTTTTAATCTATTTTCTTTTACTTTATTTTCTTTATTATTTATTTCAGCTACAAGAGAATCTAACATTGCAGACTTTATGAGATAGTCTTACAGCTCTGCAATAACACGCGCACGATCGTCAGCGCCATCTATGGGGCAGGAACGCAAACTATTTCTATTTATTTATTCTATTATTATTATCAATCTATTTCGGCATTTATTCTATGCACGTGCAGAGAGAGAAATACACACACAGAGAGAAAACCAAACGCACGCACACACACACCAGGGCGCGAAATTAGCACCGGCCCACCAACATATGCTGGCAAATTATTTGGAGGGCCGGTAACATTGGCCAAAACAAACCCCGGCCCTTCCGATCGCCGGTGGTTTCAGCCGTGTTAGGCGAGTACCCTATACTTTTATATTTATAGGCATTTAATGAGCAAATAGCATATACTTACTGTTTTCCTGAAAGGATATCACAATCATAATTTTATCAAGGCATGTTTACAAGAATTTGAAATCGAGAATGCAAGCGTGAAACATGACATTGATGTTTCACAGAACAAAATTTGTGAGGGCTGGTATAAAAAATGCTGTCCACCTAGCCCTTCTGGCCGGTGCAAAAAAAAACTTCATTGTCGTGCCCTGCACACAGGCAGGGCGCACGCACGCAATGCACTGCACACACACAGATGCAAGCACGCACGCACCCGGACGCTGCAGCGCACACAAACACAGATGGCAAAGCACGCACGCACTCCTCGCACAAACACAGCATAGAGAGAGTGAAACACACACAAAGAGAAACAGACCAGAAAACGAAAAACCCACACACACTCACACACGCTGCAAAATAAACACACATTAGTGGTTGTCAATCGTTGTAATTTCGTAATCCGATCATCGGTTGGGACAAAGTAACGCGATGATCGGTTACATCGGTTTACTCCGGGGTGTTGAATGCCTGCGTGTGCGTATCGTCGTGTGCATGTACGCGTGTGCATGTATGTTTGCTTGTTTAGACACCTGTTTACTGTTCTGTTTTGCACTGTTTTACTACTGTGTGTATAATACATGTACTGATTCTCTATACAGCTTTCCAAGTTTTTTTGTGTTCAAATTTAAAAAAAAAAAAACTTTTTTTCGATGAAAAATCGATTATGGATTTTGATAACGCAAGCGCTTTGGTTCTGAGCCAGCTGTTCAAACCGATGATGCCGAGTGAATCGATGATCGTGACATCAACTACATCACAATGCAGCAAACACCCCGCGCACACCCTCCCGCCCTCCCCTCTCCCCCGCGCGCGCCTAATACAGTGGCGCCACCTACCGTCCTGGCTCTTCCTTCATCCTCGTGCGTGAGGCTTTTCTGCAGCGCGAGGTCTCCTTCTAGCTTGGCGATGCGTCCGGACGTGATCTGCTTGCCTAGCTCCTCGTTCTCCGGTCCTGATAGAGCAGACGACACTTTGCCATCAGACGCTTCCCCGTCTGGCTGCAAGGGGGCGCAGGCGAGAGCGAGCGAGAGAGAGAGAGAGAGAAGAGGAAACGCGCGTTAGTGTCGTGGATGTTACGTCGCGGCGTCGGCCTCCCGGTGTTGTTGTTTACAAGGCGTTGTTGTTTAGGAGGTAATATTGTACAGGTGTTGTTGTTTACAAGGTATTGTTGTTTAAAAGGTAGTGTTGTACAGGTGTTGTTGTTTACAAGGTGTTGTTGTTTACAAGGTGTTGTTGTTTAGAAGGTATTGTTGTATAGGTGTTGTTGTTTACAAGGTATTGTTGTTTAGAAGGTAGTGTTGTACAGGTGTTGTTGTTTGTTTACCAAGGTGTTGTTGTTTAGAAGGTAGTGTTGTACAGGGTGTTGTTGTTTTAGAAGGTAGTGTTTGTACAGGTGTTGTTGTTTACAAGGTGTTGTTGTTTAGAAGGTAATATTGTACAGGTGTTGTTGTTTACAAGGTGTTGTTGTTTAGAAGGTAGTGTTGTACAGGTGTTGTTGTTTACAAGGTAATGATGTTTAAGTGTTTGTTGTTTGTTTACCGGTCTGGCAGGTAAGGTGTCCTACGTTTGTTGATCTCTCACCATGTTTAGCCTACCTACCAGGTGTGATACATTAATTAACGAATCTCTCACCTGCCAGGTGTGCTACACTAAATTAACAAATCTCTCCCCCTGCCAGGTTGTGGCTACACTAAATTAACCAAATCTCTCTCACCTGTAAGGTATGTGCTACATTAATTAATAATCTCTCACCTGCCAGGTAGTGCGCGTACACCTAATTAACAAATCCTCTCTCCCTGTAAAGGTAGATGTGCTACATTAATTAACGAGACCTGACTCACCTCCAGGTGTGGCTATCACTAATTAACAAATCTCTCTCACCTGTAAGGTATTGTGCTACAGTTAATTAAATTAATCTCTCACCTGCCCAGGTGTGGCGACATAATTAACAAATCTTGCTCTGCACCTGTAAAGGTATGTGATACATTATAATTAACAAATCTCTCACCCGCCAGGTGTGCTATACACTAAATTAACAATCTCTCATCACGCCTGGTGTAAGGTATGTGCTACATTAAATTAACGAATCTCTCACCTGCCAGGTGTGCTACACTAATTAACAAATCTCTCTCACCTGTAAGGGTATGTGCTACATTAATTAACGAATCTCTCACCTGCCCAGGTGTGCTACACCAATTAACAAATCTCTCTCACCTGTAAGGTATGTGCTACATTAATTAACGAATCTCACTCACCTGTAAGGTATGTGCTACATTAATTAACAAATCTCTCTCACCTGTAAGGTATGTGCTACATTAATTAACGAATCTCACCTGTAAGGTATGTGCTACATTAATTACGAATCTCTCTCCTGCCAGGTGTCTACACTAATTAACAAATCTCTCTCACCTGTCAGGTGTGAACTTCCACGCGCTCAGCTCCCCGTGAGCCTCGTCAGCCTTCGCCTCGAATTCGGCCGCCTGCTTCTTCATGCTCTGGAAGAGCAGGTTGATAGCCGGGTCCAGCAACATGGACCGAAGCTGCAGTGCGCTGGGTGTCCTGTGCCTGCCTCAACTCCTGTTATGCTGACTCTGCAACCAACGTCAGACCACAACGGTCCAAGGCTCCTGTGGTCTAACTAATGGTCAAAGCTACGTCAAGCTCTGTGAGTCTAACTTATGGAGGCAACCATGGACCGCAGCTGCAGTGCGCTCGGTGTCTGTGGCCTGCTTCAACTCCTGATCTGACTCTCGCCAACCAACGGTCAAGGCCTACGGTCAAGCTCTGTGAGTCTAACTATGGTCAAGCTTAGCGGTCCAAGCTCTGTGAGTCTAACTATGGAGCAACATGGACAGCAGCTGTAGCTGCGCTCGGTGTCTGCGCCGCTCTCACTCCTGTAAATCTGACTCGTGCAACAACGGTCAACGCTAGCGGTCAAGCTCTGTAATGCCTCCCTCGCCCCCAACTCCACCAACACATCCAGACCGCCGCCTCCAGCAACCCCGACCATCCGTGACCCGGGACCGTGCTGGCCGCGGGGGGGGGGCGGGATACGACGCGAGTACTACCCCTGCAGCTCCTGCTCCTTCGTCGGTGCCGCATCACTAGCAGGTTCTCGCGCCGCGTCGACCTTCGATCTGCTGCTGCCTCAGCTCTCCTCCCCGACTCACGAAGGAGCACTGCGATCTCATCACCTGTAGCAACACAGCCTCGTCAAGATGTAAGAGATAGATGAGAGATGTTCACTTTAACTGCAACGATCGACGACATTCGCGCGCAGGCGCGGCGAGATGTAGAGATAGATGGGAGATGTGTCGCTAATGTTAACTGGCACGACGACGACATTGCGCGCGCGCGGCGGAGATGTAGAGATAGATGGAGACGATGTCGCATGTTAACTGGCAAAACGAACGACAACATGCGCGCGCAGCCGCGAGATGTAGAGATAGATGGAGAGATGTCACCATGATTAACTGGCACGACCGCGATCATTGCGCGCGCGCGCAAGATGTAGAGATAGATGGAGAATGTTCGCATGTTAACTGCACTTTACGACGACAATTGCACGCGCGCAAGATGTAGAGATAGATGGAGAGATGTTCACATGTTAACTGCACGACGACGACATTGCGCGCGCGGCAGATGTTAGAGATCGATGGAGAGATGTTCGCATGTTAACTGCACCGACGACGACCATTGCGCGCGGCGCCAACGAGATGTAGAAGATCAGATGGAAGAGAATTTCGCATGTTTTTTTAAAACTGCATGACGACGACATACCCGCAGCCGCAAGATGTAGAGATAGGATGGAAGATGTTCGCGATGTTAACTGCATGACGAACATTGCACGCGCGCAAAGCAAGATGTGAAGAGATAGATGGAGAGATGTTCGCATGTTAAACTGCACGACCGACTACTTGCACGCGCGCTACGTGAGATGTACAGAGTATTATGGAGAGATTTCGCAATGTTAACTGCACGAACACGAACATTGCGCGCGCGCAAGATGTAGAGATAGATGGAGAGATTTCGCATGTTAACTGCATGACGACGACATTGCGGCGCGCGCGCAAGATGTAGAGATAGATGGAGAGATGTTCACGATGTTAACTGCATGACGACGACATGCGCGCGCGCAAGATGTAGGGATAGATGGAGAGCATGTTCACATGTTAACTGCATGACGACGACATTCGCACGCTGGCACGCCAAGATGTAAGATAGATTGGAGAGATGTTGCTATGTTTAACTGCACGATCGACGAACATTGCGCGGCGGCGCAAGAATGTAGGGATAGATGGAGAGATGTTCACATGTTCTAAACTGCATGAACGACGACATTGCACGCGCACTATGCAAGATGTAGAGAATAGATGGCGAGAGATGTTCACATGTTTAACTGCATGCGAACGACATTGCGTCGCGCAGTGCGCAAGCATGTAGAGATAGATGTGAGAGATTTACATGTTTAACTGCAATGACGAACGGACATGCGCGCATGCGCGCAAGATGTAGATATAGATGGAGAGATGTTCAATGTAACTGCAGCGCCGACTGACATTGCACGCGCAGCGCAAGATGTAAGATAGATGGAGAGATGTTCAACATGTAACTGAATGACGACGACAATTGCGCGCCTGGCTGCAAGATGTAGAGATAGATGGCAGAGATGTTCACACATGTTAACTGCAATGACGACGACAATTGCGCGCGCGCGCAATGATGGAGATATAGATGGAGAGATGTTCACATGTTAAAACTGCAAACGACGACGATCATTGCCGCCGCAGCAAGATGTAGAAGATAGATGGAGAGATGTTCACATGTTAACTGCATGACGACGACAATTGCGCGCGGCGCAAATGTAAGAGATAGATGGGAGATGTTTCGCATTGTTAACTGCATGAGACGACATTGCGCGCACGCGCAAGATGTAGAGATAGATTGGGAGAGATTTGCGCATGTTAACTGCAACGATCGACGACATTGCGCGCGCGCACAGATGTAAGATATGATGGAAGATGTTCGCATGTTAACTGCAGGCGACGACGACATTGCGCGCGCGCAGCCGGATGTAAGAGATAGATGCGAGTAGATGTTCGGCGATGTTAACTGCACGACGACGAAATTGCACCCGCGCGCGAGATGTAAGGATAGATGGAGAGATGTTTCCACATGTTAACTGCATGACGACGACATTGCACGCAGGCGCACAGATGAGAAGATAGATGGAGGAGAGTTCGCAATGTTTAATGCACATCGACGACATTGCACGCAAGCGCGGGCGACGATGTAGTAGACTGGAGAGATGTTCGCATGTTAACTGCAGCGATGACGACATTGACCGGGCGGCCGCGGCGAGATGTAGAGATAGATGCGAGAGATGATTCGCAAAATGTAACCATGAACGACGGACATGACACCGCACGCAGGAGATGTAGAGATAGATGGAGAGATGTTCGCGATGTTAACTTGCATGATCGAACGACATTGGCACAGCGCGCGAGATGTAGAGATAGATGGAGAGATGTTCGCATGTTAACTGGCCTACGACCGACGACATTTTTCACGCGCCGCGCAAGATGTAGAGATAGAGGTTGGAGAGATCTTCGTATGTAACTGCACGGACGACGACATTGCACGCGCGCGGGCAAGATGTAGAGATAGTATGGAGAGATAATGTTCGCGATGTTAAATGGCACGACGACGACATTGCCGCGCGCGCAAGATGTAGATAGATGAGAGATGTTTCGCATGTTAACTGGCACGACGATCGACATTGCGGCGCGCGCCGCAGATGTAGAGGATAGAGTTGGAGAGATGGTTCGCATGTTACTGGCATGATGACGACATTCGCACCGCGCACGCAAGATGTAGAGAATAAATGGGAGAGATGTTCGGCGATGTTAACTGCACGACGACTGACATTCGCACAGCGCGCGCAAGATGTAGAGATAGATGGAGAGATGTTCAAGCATGTTAAGCTTGCATGACGACCGACATTAACGCCCAGCGGCAAGATGTAAGATAGATGGAGAGATGTCGCATGCGTTAACTGCACGAGACGACATTGCGCGCAGCGCAAGATGTAGAGATAGATGGAGAGATGTTCCCGGATGTTTAACTGCACGACGACGACATTTAGCGGCGCGCGCGCAAGATGTAAGGATAGATGGAGAGGATGTTCGCATGTTAACTGCAAATGATGACCGACATTGCCACGCGCACGCCAAGATGTAGAGATAAATGAGAGATGTTCGGCATGTTAACTGCACGAACGACGAACATTGCACGCGCGCGGCAAAGATGTAGAGATAGGAATTTTGGAGAGATGTTTCACAAGTGTAACTGCAGTGACGACGACTTACGCGCGGGGGGCGCGAAGATGTAGAGTATAGATGGCAGAGATGTTTCGCATGTGGTAAACTGACGACGACGACGACGACATTGCACGCGCGCGCAAAAGCATTGTCGACATTCGGCAAGTGGCAGCCACGTGCCATGTAGTACGTCAACGTATTATCGCAGCGAGCCGTGCAGCGCAGTGATTTGCACGGTCAGTTTTGAAACTGCAACGGCAAAAAAAAATTTATTAATATACTAACTTTTTCCGGGGGAGGTCCCCCGTACCCCGTCAATGACAGAGGGAGGACCTCCTCTCATTACTCTCCCCCTCCCGTGAACGCCTACGTGGTCTTGCCTGAGACACACACACAAAAATTGCACTCCCACAATACTCATGCCTGGCTAAGGCCACCAAAATCATAGGTGTGGTTACCGTTCCCGACCGGACCCTATTTATTCCCAGGCGAACCCTAACATTTTGATTGTAATTTTCTTTAAAGTAAAAAAAAATATATTTAAAAAATGTCCATAAAAAAGTAAAAAAAAAAATATTAATTGACAATTCTGCTTCAAAAGGCACAACGCAACATCCTTCGGACATGGTGTCGTAAATAAATATTTCAATAAAATAAAAATGTTTTCCCTACCTACGCTACCCTATTTTTTTCAGCATGAAACGGTAACGGTAACGCACACCTATTATTTTGTTTTGCCCAATACCCTGCATGTAACGTTCACGTGTGATAAACGATATCAGGTTCTCCTAACGTTGCGCAAATGGGGGCCGCGCGAGCACCCGTTTGGGAAAACTCCGCCCCTGTTTCAACGTTGCGCCCGCGTTTAAGAATACCTCCGCCCGATCCTTAAATTCCACCACAAAAAACAGTTTGCCAAAGCGCCGGGAATCGATCGTCAAAAAGTACAATGTCCGTACCAAGGACACCCGGCGCGTGTATTTTTTACAGTACCGACGCTCCAGCTGCAGACAATACAACAGTCAACCCTGTCCCCCCCCCACACTAACTGTACACGCCGACTCGGCTATATCTTATATATACAGAACCGCCAAATACCCGCCTAATGGTGTGGTGGCGAGTTTTAACGCATTAATTAGTGGTCAGACGTAAAAAAACACGCCTCCCAGTTTTCCCCCCCTCCCCCTTACCCCTCCCCTTTCACCTCCCCTGTTTGAATTTCACCCTGGGAGAACCCTGGATATATATGTTCCATGCTGGTCACGCCTGCGCGGAGATGAACGAGATATACGCTGGCTCAACATTCGTCTGCAAGTAACAAGCCCCATGTGCGTTCACGTGAAACACTAACAGCACAGACAAACAGCACCCCGCAGTTAGATGGCATATGAATATGACTACTAGGCGCTACTTAGGATATGACTACTAGGCACTTAAAAAAAAACAAAAACAATCCTAACTCCTAACCCTAAACCTAAGCCTATAACGCCTAAACCTAACCTAAAACCATAACCCGAAAAAAAGAAAAAAAAGATAAATTAAATTAAAGTGGCCTAGTAGTCATATCATATTCGGCATCTTTCTGTCCCTTTGCGCAGCAACACTACCCAGTCCCTATATAGCTTGCACTGGCTAATCCCTCAACCCAACAACGATAACACTAGATAGATAAAGTATATTACTGATCAGT